GATAAATCTACTCATGCAAACACATCCGGTAACTCATTCGCTAATGAACACCCAAACGAAGCAGCCTCTCATGTGAATGAGGTAGCCGTTGCTTGATTCCCAAGCAACCCGGAACATCAGCATGATGAAATTACATGCATCATAATAAAGTTGTATGCAGCGCTCATACTTCTTGTATGCTCCATTGTCAATCCTCAAGTTCTTGTTTTTCTATCATCTATTGTGTTGTAAATTGTATCATATGAAATAAAATACAGCGTTATAATTGCACATATACTTCCATTCCGTTTGAACTCTTGTGCTCTCCGGATTGCATTGCATGTGTATTTTTTTTTTGGGGGCCAAAGTTAGGAAGGGAAATAGGGAAACTCGCACACATCAAAGGTCTGATCTAATTCAACTAACGCCTGATTGATAGGTTATACGTAAATTGAGCCCATTGATAGGTTATATGTAAATTGAGTTGAATATTTTGGAGTACAAAAGGTTTTCGTTTTGGTTTCTTTCATTTTTCAAAATAACCATATTAGAAAGCTTAGGGAGAGGCAAATTACAGCCAATCTAGGCCATCTTCCGGCCAAACCAAGGTAAGTAAACGTGATAAATTTTTAGTAACGGCTACTTTCAAAATTAAGAGGTATGGTATTAGAATGGGCGCATTTTGAAAGATACTCCATCCTTGCTTTGATCATGTTTATCAATGATATCAATAATGATATTATTTTGTTTATCAATGAAGCAAATTCTAATGGGAAAATACCTATTAGAAGAAGAGCTGGAAAAGATATAATTTCTGCTTGATTTTGGTATTATTTTCTTTTTCTACTTTTTATAGAAGAAACGGAAACGTTATTGTGAAGCAAATTACAAGAACAAAAATGATCCTATCCTAAGGGGAAGTATCATACTACCAGGAATAACTAGCATGCATCTTTTTGACCAAAAAAAAAACTAGCATGCATCTTGAAAGGAAAGATAATTGATTTTGAAATAATAATAAAAACCCCATAAAAGAAAGAAAGTATGCGTTTCCTTTCCTAGTTTTGCAGCCGACGTGATTGAAGACTAGGCTTAATTCTCAAAAGTCAACTCAGCTTTATATATTTGTAGCATTTGTAACAACGTAATTAAGGTCAATTAATTCCCTACAAATACCATATATATATTTTGAACGTAATTATATATTTATGATTATATATTTTGACTCTCTATATAAATCGCACATCATCTCAACTTTTTAGCAGAAGAAGTGAAGTGAATTCTAGAAAAAAAAAAACGATGGCTAAGTTTACAATCCCTTGTTTCGTCCTCATTTTGGTGCTCTTGTCAACCACCAATGGTTTGTTTCAATGATCTTCAATCATATATATTTTATTCTTTTCCTGTTAGTTAGGCTTTTCAATTAAGTATTTACAATCTCCTATATATATGGTCAAACAGATGTCTGCATGCAAACTATGAGGGTTTTTTTTTTTCCTTTTTCCCTTTTTCCTTTTTGGTTGATCATATTAGTGTATGAGTCGATAGAAAACCCTAATTAAATCAATTTTACTTACTATTAATCTAATAATCTAGAGTTTGTTCAAGTGTGTAAATCCATGTCTACACTTGTTTTTTTCCGTAAATATCTTGTAACATAATTTTATATATTGCAGAAGTCCATATGACTATATTGGTTACTATTTTCTGCTTAAGAGGCTGTTTGTTTTGTTTTTTTTTTGTTTTTGGTTCATATCGCGTTAAGACTATAATCTTTTTGAAGAATTAATTAATAGTTTTTTTTTTTTTTTTTAAATTCAGTTTGGAAGATAGCAACTGTTGAAGGTTCCAAGTGTTGTACTGATCATCCTGAACTTGGAAAGTGTGTCCCTGGTGCGGATGACAACCCAAATGGGGGAAAATGCTGGACATTTTGCACTTCAGATTGTGAGAAAGGAGGCATCTGCAAACTATTTGGCAACCATCATCATTGCCATTGCTTATGTTGATTTTCTTTCAACCCTATTCCATAATATTATTAATTAATTAACATTTTTATCTAAGATCCTTAAGTTGGCTGGGTAGGGAGGCTCCTCCCCCCCTACGAGCCCCCCTACTAGTCTAGATCGTCATCTCCAATTTCAAGCATATGTACCCTTCTTTAGTTGAATAAAATTATCTTGGCTTTTTGTTATTTTTGTGTGCTCAGGCTTCCCATTGCAATGCGCCGTCTTGGGTTCTTCACTAAATGTCCTTGCAACTTTAACTCACGTAATTTTAAATATCTAACTAAAACCCAAACTTGTAAGATAGGTATGCTTTATTATTATTAACTAAATTACAATATATGCAATCTACCTTCATGTTTTGTATTTAATTTATTTTAAAGTATGTCATTAACTTCCTGATTTTTAGCACATTAATGACTCCAATCTTTTTGTTTGATGTTCCCTCTAATCCCTAAAATTTCGACAAAACAAAAACCCTCGAATTTCGACCAAAAAAATCCCTACAAATTTGACCAAAAAATATCCTTAAATCATTTGATTTAAACATAGTTACATTTTTTCTTTTTCTTTTTTTACCCAATGTACATTATTTCTATATATCTAACATACGCGTTACTTTGAAAAAAATTATGTACACTTGTTACAAATTAAAGACATGTACATAATATTTTGAATAGTATAGATACTATTTTTATTAACTCACAATAATACGTAAATTATAATTCATAAAAGATAATAGGTAGATTATTATTGATAAAATTTTATAGGTACAATAAAAATTTAATAAGTATATTATCATTGTTAAAAAGAAAATAAATAAATATAAAATATGGACACTATTATTCTCAAATTTAAAAAATCATTTAAACAAATGATTTTTTCCTATTTTAAATTTGACAATAACAAAAAAGGAAGAAATGAACCTTTTTCGCCAAAACATAGGAATTTTCTTAATACAAAATTAGTGAAATACCCTTTTCTAGACATGAAACTATAAATATACTCTACACTATTTAATACATAGAAACACACCCAAAATAAACCCAAAAATCGACACTGTCGATTTTTGGATTTATTTTCTATGTTAGATTACGGTTTTGACCTTTTGGTTTGAATTTTTTGAAACAGGCCCAGAACTCGCTCTGCAATTTTAGATAAAGAGAAGGAGAATGAAAAGAACGAAGGTGTTTAGAACTGGAAGAGAACGAAGGTGTTCAGAACGCCGACGTCGGTGGTGAGTGCGAGAAGAAGATGAAGATGATTTCTCTTTCGCCTGCACTAACCCCGACGGATCGCTGATTTCCACCGACGACATATTCCAAAATTATCAGATCCGTCTGGTGTTCCCGATTTTCAACCCAGATCTTCTGTTCGCCGACGACAATGACGACGACGACGACAACGATTCTTCCAAAGCCAGATGTTGCATACCGTAGATCTGGAGACTTGTGCAAGGTACAAACCTTCAACTACATTGCTGCCTAGAATAACCTTCAACTACATTGCTGCCTAGAATTTATTTTTTCTTCCTTTGCTTTGATTGTTGATTCTGTCATAGCTTTGCCTAGACGTGTATATAATCTTTCATGCAGTCTAAGTTCATCTATTTTAATTGACAGTAAAAATAAGTTTAATATGTTATCCGATAAACTCAGCATTCAACAAGCTTATTAGTGAGTTTCATTTCATTTCCCATCAGAACACGCTGAGATAATGAGAAGCAAAAGACCAGGTGAAAATATGACATTGGATGACACAAAGAAGATAAAGTATACCTGGCAGGTTGCTTGTGAAAGCATGCGGCTCTTCCCTCCTATCTTTGGCTAAAACTTTGAGAAGATTCTGCTCCTGGCTATCAACAAGCTTGTGTTATTTATGTTTGGCTTGTGAATGTTTTAAATTCAACGATTTAGTTTGTATGGCATAGGTTAGAGATCTATTTTTTTTGTTCTTTAGTTGTCGTTAGTTTTTCAGTTAAAAGTTTGAGAATATTAAGGGTTTTTTATTTAGTTGTTCTCTTATGGCTTAAAACCAATGTAGCTCATCTGCTTATGGATTTCTTGGTTTTGATTTCACATTAGAGTTTTGATTAGCGCTTTGAGTATTTGTTTCATTTTTAGTGATAATGAATGTGAATTGGGTATTTGAGTTTCTCATACTAATAAAAGTTTGCTATCCCTGTTTGCCTATTAAAAGAGATGTGTTAAAACGTTTTGTAAGTTGAATATAAGAAGGTTTATTTTCAATGTTTATGTCGCATGCATGCTTTTCAAATTTCCTTATAAAAAATCTTTATTGTTCTTGTCTCTTGCTGAATTGATATGGAAAAGCTATGTAGAGAATAAGTTTTTTCGGTAATGTTTTTGTTTGAATTGAATTTCCTTTGGCTCATTATGTCATGGTCTGTTTGTAGGCTCTTGACAAGATTAGATTTGAGAGTATGACTGACAAGCGCAAGCTCAATGATCAATTAGAGCTTTCCATCCCTGACAAAAACAACAATACCTTGACTATTATTAATAGTGGTATTGGAATGACCAAAGTTGGTAAGTTGATTTGTAGTATACAATTTGTTATCTATAAGTGGTATGAACATTTATTAACTTCCAGTAAGTGGTATGAACAATTGTTATACTGTTCATACCCTGCAATTGAGTTGATTTTTATTGCATAGTATTAACAGTGTAATTTTATGACATAGTATTAACTGTGTATTTCTATGACATAGTATTAACAGATTTTCAGTAACAAAGCATGCTCTATATTTTGCTCATATAGCTGTGCACTTGAAGTTTATGATATGTATAATGTGATTTTCACTAGAAATATAATTTTATGACACAGTATTAACAGTGTACTTTTTTTTTTCTTCTTATAGAGGGCCTTTGCGATTGCTTTTGGTGAAACTATGGACATTTGGATGTGATTTTTGCAAAGGATATCAGATATTTTGCTGGGCTTTTTTGGGTTTTTTTGACTTTTTTTTGTATGAAATAGTATTAACAATGTTTTTCTATGAAATGATATTAACATTGTACTTCTATGACATGATATTAACAAAGTATTTTTATGACATGGTATTAACAATGTATTTTTATGACATTGTATTAACAATATTCTTCTATGACTTAGTATTAACAATGTACTTCGGGCTTGCTCGGCTTATTTTGGGTTTTTTTTTTTTTTTTGAGTTTTTTGTATTGGGTTTGTTTTAAGTTAATAAATGGCAAAGATGTAATTTATAGGAACTTCAACACTTATTTTTTTAGTTAGTAAATAGTTTTTGGGTGTGTTTTTAAAGTCTATTCCATATAGGGTTTTTTTATAATTTCATGTCCTATTTTGAGTATATTACTAAAGCTCCCTTTTCTTAATAGATTAAAGTAGAGTCTACTTAGCCAAACGACACAAAGCCAAGAAGGGGTATTAAAATCCCAACGGAAACTGCCCTAACCAAAAAAAAAAAAAAGGAAACTATTTGCTTAACAAATCTCTAAATTTATGCCAATTTAGAAACCTATATTTGAAATTAAAATATTATTAAAACGACAGCTAATAATGGCAATTTCTTAAAGATTACTTAATTTACCTCATATTATAATGTACCATGTGTTTTACCATGTTGGCCAATTAAGTCCCCTGTGTTTTCAATTTGGCCAATTCGGTCCCAGTGTTTAGGACCATTAGTCAATGTTATCAATTTCGTTAAATTTGTTGTTAAATATACATAATAAACATCTTTGTGTCTTTTAAAACCTATACAACTTTTTTAAATTAATCTAAAAATATTAAAATATATATATATGTTGTCGGGGAGGGGAGGGTTCGCCGAGCGAATGGAGAGGTGGGAAGGAGAGTGATGAGCACAGGGGCAAGATAAACAAACGAAACCAGAAACTAATACAAGGAAAACCCCATAAGGCACTACCTACTGAAACATTCAAAAACATGAAAGTAAAGATTGTTCTTGAGAGAGAGATAGTGAGGTGATTCGGAGTTGGGGTGGTGGGTTGTTTTTTTTAGTTTTTTTAAGTTTTCCTCTTATTTGTTTAACTTTAAATTGTATTCAAATAGTTATTTTTTTTAAATTAATATTTTAAATTGTTCAAATTTTTTTAACAAAAATTTAACGGAATGGACAATATTGGCTAATGGTACTAAACACAAGGATCGAATTGCCCAAATTGAAAACACAGAGACTAAATTGGCCAACGTGGTAAAACGGAGGGACCATTTTTGTATTTAAGCCTAAAATGTAATTAGGGTTACGTTTGGAATTTGAAAAGTATAATAAATCATATTTTAAGTTTGATTAGGTAAATTAATGAGTTCCATCCTAAGGATTTACTTATAAAAATCATGTTTTATTTATAGAAATATAAGGTTATGGGTTGAAGGTAAGAAAAAAATTAGTTTGAAGGGGAAAATTCAAAAAAAAAAAATTCAAAAAAATACAAGTGATAATAGGGGAATCGAATTGGCAAAAAAAAAAAAAGAAAAAAAAAAAGAGGAATCGAACATAGGAATCTCAGGTGCAAAGGTAAATGCTCTTAACCACTCAAACTACAAGCTCTTTACATGTGCCTCCTTTAAAATACATAGCAATTAACAAGTTATTTGCTCCATTTTTTTGAACAACTTTCAAGGTTATGTGATAATTAAGTTTTTTTTTTTTTTTTTTTTTGTTGTTGTCAAAATTAAGATAATTAAGTTGGCCAGCACTATTTTATTGCTTTCAAGATAAATAAATGTTGATTATATATGGTAGTACTATGTACACATAAGTGGAGGCTTGAAATAAAATTAACCCAATATGAGTATGTATATACTTCCAGTATGTTAGAGGAAGAGCATCTCCTCACTGAAAGTAAAATCATTTTTACATCTTGTTTATATCTCCGAGAAATATAAATTGAGTTTTCTCTCTAATGGTGAGATGTGAATATGGGGATGGGAGATGGGACATGTATACTTTGGCAAGGGACATGCCCCAAAATTATGCGATACAGCGGTTTACAAGGGATGTGCCCTCAAGAGATAACAAATCCCTTCTCTAACTAATGACAAACCTAACAAGGCTAAGCCTGGGTTAGTTGTTTAGTTGTTTTATTGGGCCTCTGACCTCATTGTGTACCGAAGAAATTGAGTCCAATAAGGGTTTAACAAGCAGAAGGCTGTTATAAAGACTCAATCCTTTCCGACCCAACCAAAGAAAAGAAAAAAAACTCAAATCCTTAGACCATCTCCAATTATGTTGGGGCTAAACTCAATTTCTACTCTCCAAAATATAACTATTCATGTACTTTTAGGACTCAAATTTTATTTTCCTCCAACCTTGCTGACTCATAATTTGAGTCTGCAATTGTATTAAACTGCTTGAGAATGATTAACCCTTATTTTTTTAGTTTTTCTTGACATCATTTTTGTTTCAACATTCATGATTTAATTTTCTAAACATTTTAACTTAAAAAATTAAAATTCCAAAACATAATAGAATTTGACTTCAAAATAAAAACAAGTTTGCATTAAAAAAAACAATTCAGCTTTCAAATTGGGCCATTTGATTGCAACGGCTCTTTGTCCATAAGTTGCCACTTGTCGCGCAATAAGAATGCAAGGGAGACAACTTTATTGCCACGCTAGGCCCACCTCTTTTTCCTCTTCACATGGGCTGCAAAACAAGAATTTGAGCTCCACACAAATTACCAGTCCAGGCAAAACTTAGATTGAAATTCTGCCCCAAATTCCACCCATCTTAAATTTCCACCCTCTAAAATACATGGGTTGGAGATGAATTTTGGGTTCAAAACTCAACATTTGAGTTTCTGCCCCTTGGGTTGGAGATGGCCTTACATATGAAAATCAATTCTGAACAAGTTTTTTATTTTATTTTATTTTATTTTATTAATGCAAGTGATTAGGAGATGGTGTTTACACAAATATTTATTCGATGTCGAGGGTTTTTGAATTTCTACCCACAAAAGTGGAAGCGGAAGAACTCAACCAACTGAGCTTAGGGATAGCAACGGACCGGGCATGAGCTGAGTATGGCAATACCATCCCCTTCCCTCTTCCAATCCCCGACCCTGTCCCCTATAAGTATTTTCGGGGAGTCCCCTTCCTCGTCCCCATCAGGGAGCTATACCCCAAACTTGCCTCAAATCCCTGAATCAACATGTTGTCTCCTTCTATACTATGGGTCCATCTTCTCCCTATTCTCGTTGACCAGCAATTTACAATATGGTCGAGTTATATTTGCTCCATCAAGTCCTGAAACATTTAGTATATATGGAACCGTAACTTAAGGACATAGGATTGTGTGGTTTCAAATCCACACATCAAAGATAAATCCAGAAAACAAAACATGAATCTAAGTTTTCTGTGCAAATTAGTTCTCAATAACAAGTATACAAAATGTTTTAATGGAATTTGGACTCGTGTGTGAATCCCAACTCCTTCAACGAAAAAGCCCCACCAATTTCCATAGGTATGCTTCCATTGAGCTTAGGGCCCTCAACTCTCTGATAGTCACATGTAGGGGTGGGCATCTTAAACCGAAATACCGAAACCGTACCCTAACCGCACCGTACCGTACCGATTTCATACCGTTTCATTTGGTACCGATAGATATTCGGTACCGTACCGTACCGTACCAATCGAGTATGGTATGGTAGCGGTATCAAGATTTTGATACCGGTCAATACCGTACCGTACCGAATAGTACTCTATTGAAATATAAATTTTTTTTTTTCATTCTCTCGCTCATTCTCTCGCTCTCATAAGGCATAAGTTTAACTCTTTTGGTTTGTAAGCCATAATGCATGAGTTTTAACCATTTGGATTTGATGAATATGTTGATGGATAAATATTGATTTGGTTGATTTGGATATTGAATATGTTGATGGATATTGTATATGTTAATTAGGATTTGGATATTGAATATGTTAATGGATATTGAATATTGAAAATGTTGATGGATATTGAATATGTTGAATATTTGAATTTGTAACTTAGGCATCACTTATTTTGGTGTTGAATATTGAATTAGTTCATTTTTTAGTTGTATCATTTTGGTACCGAAATGGTACCGATACCGTACCGATACCGATTTGGCACGGTACGGTACGGTACCAATTTTGGCAAACCATAATACCGTACCGTACTATACCGATTCAAATTTCCGGTATTGGTAGCGGTACGGGCTCAATACCGTACCGTACCGTGCCCACCCCTAGTCACATGAATAGGACCAACAAAGAGGTTGCGGCGCTAGAAGGAATGAGGAATTGGGCTAGGGTAACAGCATATTATATTATAAGTATATATTTATCAGATAGGGTTCGAAGACGGGGATGCCAATGCCATATTTGACCCATACCCAATAGGGAATTTTAAAATTCGGAGATCTCCATACCCGATCCCCATTTTGCCCTGAAATCTCCCCTATTAGGGTCGAGGATCTGACAGGAATTTCTGCAATTCCTAACTAAGTTATACCTTACTAACGAACAAGCTATTATAAATAAATTATTGTTTAAAAATAGTTTTTTTTTTATTCAAGCGATATTAGGGAAGGGGGAAGTAGCACCTCAGATGCTTGAAAGAGTTTTAAATTGACGTTAAAAAAATGATCAATTTGTGTTGACTCTTATTTCTTTCCAAAAGCAAACCCTTTCTTCTTTTCATGCCCCACAGTTTTGAAGATATTGGAGGACAACGGGACAAGCCCCATCTCCTCCTCAGCTTTTGATTCAAAATTCAAAATGTGGGGACTCAACTGTCGTCATCACCTGCATCATTCCAATTTCAAAATTCTAGCCCAAAGTTTGGCTTTGAATTTTTCCATCTACCTTCTCCGGTTATGCACCAATGAAGGAATATCAATTGCTGGGTATTAACTCCAGAAAGTTCAGAAATCTTGCAAGGTATTATAAGGTTTGTCGGTATAACGTGTCGTATAAGGGACGAAATATGCCACATGCATGGATAAATATACTGAATATAAAATTAAATTTATATTTCCTTTTGGCTGAATTGGAATTTTGACTCTGA